TTGAATTTTTTCTTCTCCTAAAATTATTCCTAAATTTTTTTGTTTATTTATTTTCTTTTTCTTTTTCCTTCTAACTAAACCATTTTATATAAATTTATTTAAAATTATTTCTAAATGTTTCATATGTTCTTTCTGATTTTCACTGTGTACTAAAATATCATCTATATATACACAAACAAATAGAAAATAATTAAATATATAATTCATCTTTGTTTGAAAAATAGAGGGTGCGTTTTTTAATCCAAAAGGCATGACCAACAATTCAAAATGTCATAGTGATGTAGTAAAAGTTGTTCAAGGAATATACTCTTTTGCCATTTTTATTTATCAAAATCCAGATTTACAATCAAACTTTGAAAATATTTTACTATTTTGTATTTTGTTTATTAACGTGTCTTTGTCTTGTATTTTATATCTGCCATCGATTGTATTATCATTTAGTCTTTTATAGTTTATAATTATTCTTGTCTTTCCTATTTTAATTTCGCTATGATTTGTAAATCTAGATTTTAACAAAAAATGACAAAAGACTATTCATTGGACAACTTTTTCTACACTATTAGGACATTTTGAATGGTTAGTCATGCATTTTGGATTAAATATTTAATTCTTTTCCATTCGTTTGTGTGTATAGAGATGATATTTTAGTATATGGTAAAAATCAGAAAGAACATATGAAACATTTAGAAGTAATTTTAAATAAATTTATATAAAATGGCTTAGTTATAAGTAAAATGAAAATAAATAAACAAAAAATTGAATTCTTAATAATAATTTTAGAAGAAGGAAAAATTCAATTGCAACCACATACAGTACATACAATTTCGCAGTTTTCAAATAAAATTGAAGAAACTAAAAAATTGCAAGCTTTTTTTTTTTTTTTAAATAAATTTTGAATTATGCTAGACATTTTATTAAATATTTAGGAAAGAAGGTAAGACCATTGTATAGCAAGTTATCCAACAAATTACAAAAATATTTTAATCGGTCCGACATATAGTTGGAAAGATAAAAGAAAAAAAGACTTACCACCTTTAGAATTACCTTTAAATAGTGAATATAAAATAATAGAAACATGTGGATTTGAATTAGGATGGGGAAAATTTTTAAATTCTAAACTAAATAAATATAGTGACAGAGAAAGAAAAGATTTGTAAATATGCTAATTGAAAAATATAAGATAAAGGAAAATATTTGATCATTTTAGATTATGTATTATACATAGTATAGAAAGTTTTAAATTATTTTTAAATACTGAATTTACTATTAGAACATATTGTGAAGCCATAGTAAAGTTTATTAAAGAGACAAGTTTTGATAAAATAAGACATAAAAGATGGTTAAAATTGTATGAAATGTTGAATAGTTATAATAGAACATTTAGACAAGAAAAAAAGATATTTTAGTAGATAATTTAAGTAGATAAGTTATTAATTTTCTAACCAATTTTCATAATGCAGATGAATCAGATGATGATGAACTTTGAAAATGTCACTTTAAGAGTGGCCACACAAAGATCCAATCTCCGTTTAAGAGGAAATAATTTAGAAAGACTTCCAGAAATGAAGCGTCGTCTACTAAATAATCTCTGGATGACACGTGACTTTAAACAAAAATTAGACACCATTAATGCTCTAGCTAATATTTAGACAAAATCAAGTAGAAATTTTAGTTTCTTTGCAGTAATCAGGGTAGAAAGCCTGGTGCATATAATTATTGGCAAGAGGTATTACAAGAAGTAGAGATTTCCAAACCCCCCTTTAAAGGGATTTTACATATTAGACGAAGTTTTAAATTTTTGTAGAGAAATTATAGGTTTTAATTTTTATATAGCTGAAAGAATTAGACAGACTATGACTATGCAAACTTTCCCTTCTCAATTGTGATCTACATCATCGTCAATACAACTTTGTGATAATTGCGAAACAATGACCAAAGTTGTTAGAGATCTAAATCGTAGAAAGCAATTCTTGAAGATGAAATCTCTTCATCTCGACAGATCATCAGTAGATATCAAAATGAAATTCTTCAGTTACAATATAATATAGAAAGAATTAGTTCTAAAAATATTGTTGAAAGACACTTCTCCAAAAACATTGCTTCTACAAATTCTTGAATTAACAAATTCTACTGCTGCAGAGAAAGAAAAAGCTTTATATGAATTATAACAGAAAATTGACGATTCTGTCAGTATTGTTCGAAATTCTATAAATAAATCATTTGTACAGGAGATAATTGATTTTTTTTTTCTTTTCCAAATTCTAAGCTACTACCACAATGAGAATGTGTATTTTCTTAAATATGGCCCCAAATATGAATCGTCTATTAAAAAATCAGCTTTACCTAAACACAATTATCCTACAATATCTTTTGATTATACAATTTTTGAAGAAGAAGACATTTTTTACTCAGTTTTACAGTTTGGTATGATACACGCTATATATGTTCTAAACAGATCTTTTAGATTATTCTCACCTAAACTTAAACAGACTCTTGATCACTTAAAAAATCATCCTTTAATGATCTAATTCATTTCCGTACCACCTCTTGTAAATAATGGTATAGTAATATCAATTTATCATTATATTATAATATATGAAGGAGTCAAAAGATTTATACCACCTTCAAAGACAAATTTCAAAATAAAAATTAGACAGATTGATTATGAAAGACGGATTTCAGAGACAGCGACGATGATGGAAATTTAAAATAATGATTCCAGACTTAAAGCGTAATGGAACAATAGAGCTATTTTATGTCAATAATATCTTGCTATCATGGGCGAACGCAGAGCTTTAAATTTAGGGGGGCATAATCGAACTTGCATAGAAGTTGGGAGAAATTTTACAATCGAAAATTTACGTCCAAAAAAAATCATACCACGTAAATTTTGTATCAGAAAATTTACATGGGATATAACTTTTTCGAATGTAAAATTTCAAAAATTTTTAATGTTATATTCTATATAAAATTTCCTAATAAAATGATGAAAATTACATTGAGAAATTTGTATCGCAAAAATAATAAATGTTAATGAAATAATTGAATTTTTTTTTAAAAAAATGCGAGTTAGACTTCTTTCTTTAATACTCACGTTTAACGTATTTTTAACTATTTTCGATATCTGTTTGGATTATTTGATTGTCCATAATGTAGACGTCTTTCTTTAATACTCACGTTTAACGTATTTTTAACTATTTTCGATATCTGTTTGGATTATTCGATTGTCCATAATATAGACGTCTTTCTTTAATACTCACGTTTAACGTATTTTTAACTATTTTCGATATCTGTTTGGACTATTCGATTGTCCATAATGTAGACGTCTTTCTTTAATACTCACGTTTAACGTATTTTTAACTATTTTCGATATCTGTTTAGACTAATCGATTGTCCATAATGTAGTTCTCGAAATAAGCTTTAAGATGACATAAGCAATTTGTAGATTCGATTAGCATATGATCATCGAAGAATTTTAAAATTANAAAGTTGGGGGGGGGGGGGCACGTGCCCCCTAGGACTCCCTTGTGTCGGCCAGTGCTTGCTATAACAGTTAAAACAAGAAGAATTCCAACCCCAAATATTCAGCAAAAAGAATTATATCTGATGACTTTTCAAGAGACAAATGATGAATTATCAAAAACCAATCAAATACAGATGAAGAACAATACATATCCGATGACAAAATTAATGAAACAGACGCAGACTTGAATGAAATCTCATAGAGATGATGAACAAATAGTTCAAAAAAAGGACATAAAGATAAAGGAATAATCATTATTGAAGAGCAATGACAATTATCAACACAGAAAGTAAAAAATGAAGAGTATAAAGACGAGTGAATGATTACTATGTTCATACAGCTGTAAAGTTAATATTCATACATTTAATTGTAAATCATACAAATGTAAGGATATACAGTATTGTTTAGTTTTTCGAAAGAAGTTGATGTGATATACCAACATCTACTTTTCTATAAAAGTCAAATGTTTTTCACACAAGAACACACATCGAAAAACACAGAGCACACAATAACACTTGTACTCAAAAATCTCTCTTGAAATCATTGTAAATTCAAAGACTTGTAATTAAAGTAAATTTTTTCATATTTCCTTTTGCTTTATAATTCTTTTTTACTTTATTTATCTTTTGGGCAATGCCTAAAAGGGGAAATACAAAGTAAGCAATTAATTTATTCATAAATAATATTATAATGTTTTATTTTCTTTTCGAATATATTTCTAATGCTCATTGCCTCTTTATTCTGGATTTCATTACCAAAAGATAAAGTAATCCTTTGAATTAAGTTTGATGTGCTTTATCCCGATTAAGAGAATTTGTTTTAGCTTTTTTAAATATGATGAATTTTTTTTTTTGGTTAGTCTTGTGCCTTCCTAGAAAGTCAAGAAAAAAGCTAAGAGAGAGTTAGATTTTTTTTTTCTTTTTTAAGAAATTAATTTGTTGAACGATAAAGTACTCTGATGGAATTACAAAAATTTTGTTTCAAGTCCTTATATTTTATGATGTTCGACAAGTATACTTATTCACTTTGCTTCGTTGTTCTTTAGAAAGTTTAACGAATTTATTAATACTTGTTTAGAAAATCAAGAAATTGATAGAGTAGTTGTCATAGAAAGCCATATATTATTTGCTTTAGATAGAAATAGATGTGACTCCTCTTTACAGACCAAGAGGCAAATCACTGAGCGTTCTATCTCTAAATGTTGGAGCTTTTTGATAGAAGATCCTCAAGACTTTAAGAAAAGGCGAAAGCAAATAAAAATTGCAAGAGGAGATAAAAATAATAGTAATATAACAAAAAGAAAGACAAGACAAATGAAATGTTGATGAATATAAGGGGTTGTTCTCCAAAAATATCGTTTTGGGTGTTTCAAGTTAAAATGATGCCAAAATTTTCAAAACTCGTTTGGGGTATTTTCAAAATTACACCACTGCCAACAAGGACTGTACCACCGCGACCCAACCTTTCAAGATAAACATTACACCACCGCCAACGAAAAAGGAAACTCACCACCGTCGTTGCCCCACCACAACAAAGCCCACCCACCATCGCCAACAAAACCTACGACCTCTGTCGCCTCTGTCACAACACCACTACACCACCGCCAACAAAAAATCACAGCAGAACCACCACTACCAACAAAAAAAAAAACCCCAACAAAAAAAAAAACCCTAGAAAGACAAAAGGACTGCAGCGTCGCGCACGGCTGAGCGACCACCGCTCCAAGCGTGGCACTGCACAACCGATTCGGTCACCTCCATCATCAACATCAAAAACGCCGCTGTAAGGGCAACGTCGCAGTGCTTCGTCTGTGGAGAGTCGCCGAAGTGAGTGGGAATAGAGACGAGAAAGAGGGGGTGGTGATGGAGGGTGCGACGGGTCTTCACAGAGGGTGGTGATGGTTGTTGGCGACGGGAACAAAGACGAGAGAGAGAGAGGGGGAAGGGGGGGTTAGGAAGAGAACGAGTTTTGGGTTTTTTTAAATTTTGAAAACAATTTTTCAAAATGACAAAAATAACATATTTTCAACAATCTCAAAATGGACATTCAAAACACAAAACTCAAAAATGAATTCAAAACTCAAATAGAACATCCCCTAGCATTTTCTTAAAATTTTTAATACATATAGATTTAGAGTTGAATAAATATATAAAAATATGGAAAAATTGCAGCCACAGTACCAAACATTTTACATTTTTACAGACTTTGTCCAAACATTTGTTTTGTGCCACCCACGGTACCAAACCTTTAAAAAACTCGCACCTACAGTTCACATAGATGGTTTCCGTCCAGTTGACCGTTAGTTGACCAAGAATAGTAGATTTGATCAAATTTTAAAAGGGCAAAATGGTAACTTTCCATTTTTCTCATATAAAAAAAAAAGAATTAAAATAAAATCATTAAGTCAAAAATCATAAAACCCTATTATCTTCTCCAACCACCCTACCTCACCCCCACCCAATCCAAAACCAAAATTGCCGGCACAACCACCACCACGGCCGTCGACACCACCACCTCATCCTCCCACCACAACGATAGCCGTAGCCTCATCCCACCACCACAACCTCAACTGCATTTTTCCCTAAATTATATACCAGTCCAACAACATAACAGAACCGCCCAACAATCCATCACTGCAGGAGCTGTTCGTGTATACTGACAATTAAAAGCGTAAATTGTGGAGGTGTGATCTTGAGAATTTGATTTCTTGATTTCGAGGTCAGTTTCGATGGAAGCTCATTGATGTCTATGGGGAATGGTGAGAATTTGCATAATAAGCTTTCAGATCTTGTGGAGCGTCCTAATGCAGCCAATTTTAGTTGGAACTGTGCGATTTTTCTGGCAACTTTTGTACTCTAAGTCTGGTGACTTGGTCTTGGGATGGGGACATGGGTGTTGTCGAGAGCCTCGTGAAGGTGAGGAGTCGGCAATTAGTTTTATCTTCAAACCAAGACTTGGAAACGAGACTCAACAATGGATGAGGAAAAGGGTTTTGCTGATGTTGCACAATTTGTTTGGGGAAATTAACGAGGATCTTGAGGATGTCGTGGTGGTGGGAGGATGAGGCAGTGGTGCCGACGGTCGTGGTTGTGCCGCAATTTTGGTTTTAGGTTGGGTGGGGATGAGGTAGAGTGGTTGGAGAAGATAATAGGGTTTTATGATTTTTGATTTAATGATTTTATTTTAGTTCTTTTTTTATATGAGAAAAGAGAAAATTATCATTTTGTCCTTTCAAAATTTGGTTAAATCTACTATTCTTGGTCAACTAACGGTCAACTAGACGGAAACCATCCATTTGGACTGTAGGTACGAGTTTTTTAAAAGTTAAGTACCGTGGGTGACACAAAACAAAGGTTTTGGCAAAGTCTGCAAAAATGTGAAAGGTTTGGTACCATGACTGCAATTTTCCCTAAAAATAATGAATGAAAATAACGACTCTGTATTTTTTAAATTGCAGTTTCTAAAATTTAGTATTGCTAGATTCAACTTTTGATTAATTTCTAATATATAGTGTGTAAGACTTAATTATTAGTGTTTGATTGCAAGAATGAAATTTGAGTGGAAAGAAAATGAATTCTAGGAAATTGAATTGCCTAAAATTGTTTTCCTGAAAATTGTCAATTAATTATATTTGATTAGTATAATTTTCCACGTGAAAAATATTAAAATTTTGAATCTTTTGGTGTTCGTTTAACTTTGTTTTACATGAATATTGTCCATTAAAGGGACATAATTTGTTACCATTATTAAAAAAAAAACTGGAAAACCATTTTCCCAACAAAGTGGTGAAAAAATCAATTCAATGAAAAGCAAGAAAAGGGTGTCACGTGGAGGGTTTGGGGGGAAAACCAATTCCATGGAATTTTTGGCTAATCAAACATGCAATAACTTGGAAAATGAAAAATAATTTCCAATTTCCATGGAAAATAAACCCTATCAAACAGGGCCTAATTAATTGCACGTGTGAATTGAAGAAAGAAACACAAAGGAAGAAGAGAAGAATTAATTGCTTATAAAAAGTGAGTCCTATGGAACGTGAATGATACAAAATATGTGAATAACGACCACCTTAATTTATGTTTTGCCAAACATGCAATAAATAAATGAAACAAGGAACCGGAGAGAGGCCATGAACAGTGCAAATAAGAGTTTTATTTGACATAAATATTTCTCAACAAACTTGTGCAACTCACAAAAACGTATGACTTCAATACAGCAAGGGAAGAAGATACTCCAGAACAAAACTGATCGGATACTGGCGCTAAGTTAAAAACATAATGCCTGATGCAAATCTTTTGGATTTTGCTACTTATACATAAAAAAATATACAGAAACGGTTACCGAAAATGATGTGGAGTGAAAAGATTGGATGAAAAAGTTGATTGTATTTTAGACTAGCAAATGGTAGAGTGTCATATAATATTATGTAATCCATTATGTAAATCTTGATGCAAAATGTAGCAAGATCCAAATATTTTAACCTTCATTTGCAGGAAGTGCAGTTTCAATGTTTGAAGGCATTAATACGTTAAAACCATCTGCGGCTGTTGATATGATCATTCCTGGTATTTGTGAATGCCAATGGAGTTCTTTCAAGTCCTTTTGACCCTGCACACGAGGACAAGTGCAAGTTCAACATACATGTACAGCTGAAAACATGTACTCTTCTAACAAGTTCAACAGTTTTCACCTGATGAACAAAGAGAAGTTGTGGAGGCAAATCTGTAGGGGCATTCACTTGCTCTTTTGTTTTGGCTTTAAATTCAGTCTCTTCTTCCTCATCCCTCTCTAGAGAAAGGTCCCATATTCTGAAAATGTGAACAAAGAAGTAGAAAGCATAATGTAAGTTAGCGATCAAACAACAAAATGACCTTAATATGGTAGTCTAGATTTTTCTCACGTTAGTTGATTGTCCGCTGAAGATACTGCCAAGGTGGAGGCTTCGTGTGGACTCCACTCAATGGATGTAATGGGATGCTTATGGTATTCAAAATGTGCCACTACAGCATCTCCTTCCTGAGGAACAGAAACATGGTGAAAATTGAAAAAAAGCCAACAATTCCATAATAGCCTATGTTTGATTAATGTTTATAAACACTCAAGCCAATTTTAACCACGCATTTCGACAGACCCTCAAAATACTATCAACTTATCAACCACTCATTTCTATCTATTTATAATTTAAACCGTTTATGAACCCTTCCCCTCTTAATGTGATATGAAAAAAATGCATGCCGTAGGCTCGTAGATTTCGTTATTTTTTTGCACAACATTTTCAACTTCTGCACTCTAGATCAGGTTTGAAATTCACAACCCCCTTTTTAGCACACCACCAACCCCACCGCCAGGCAACCGACAAAGGTATATCTTCTCGGGAAAGCGAGCAAAAGATAAGACCAAGATTATACTGATGGTATGCGGTCCCATCCCAACTGGAGTTTATAGCAATATTTCATAGGTTGTGACAACTGGCTACAACCAACTGTGATAACTGACATACAAATTTCATGCACCAATCCCCTTCAAAAAAAAGAAAAGAAAAACTTCCATTTAGAAATGTCCAATACTAAACTGAATACCTTGAGCAATCTTAGATCTCGGATGGAAAATGTCCCATCATCACTACCAGATGCCAGCATACAACTTGCAAGCCTAGTGAAAATATGACAGCATAAGGGAGAACTTCAAAAAAGTTACTATGACAGTGTAGAGTAATAGACCAAATTTAAACACCTGTTCCATGTTATGACATTTACATCTGCTTTATGTGCCTTCATAGAAGCAGCAGGAGACTTCCCCAAACGGCTATCCCATATTGCAATACTTCCATCCACAGAGCACGAGGCAAACACATAAGGTTCTGTAGGGCTCCACTGCATAGAAAGTAACAAAATCATCACTTCGAAAATTGGATGTTGTAACAAAATCATCATTGTCCAGCATCAGGACAATGTACCTGTAAATCTTCAACACTAGCAGTATGTCCAACAAAGGGATTACTATCTATATTCCAAGTTGAACCAGATGCTGGCTCCCATAAATGAATATTATTCTTGCAGTCCCCTATTAAATGAAAGCAAAATAAGCAATAAGAGAATTTATTTTATTAGGTACTTGAGCACTGCTAACCCTTGATAGCACGTTATTAAAAAAAAATTATCTATCTTGCAGTACCAGACAAAAGCCTTCCAGCAACAAGAGGACTCCAGTCTATAGCATAGCCTTCATCCTTATGCCCGCCATACTTAACCAGAGGAGGTTGATTTGACAGAGCTGATCCTCCATGGCTAACTTCAGTATCTGATTCTGCCAAAGCATTTAAATGCGAACTGAAGTCCCATACCTGATCAATTTGTACGAGGAAGAACATCAAAAATTCTGAGCATTTACAATGCCTTTACAAGTATATTAGTTTTAGCAGAACACTGAGATAGGATCAATTGTTACTTCAAGATCCAGTTTCATACAGTATCAGCATAACATTTCAATTAATAAATGTGATAATAAATATGAGATCCAAATAACAGTGATCATAATGCAAAGTTTCTGCATGGAGTCTGCCTATCTGAATCACAACCAACAAAAGCAGCTTATTCTACTTATCATTTGATAAATTACCAAAGACAGCATTTTTATTTTCCGAACACATGCAGGAAACTTACAAGTTATTTGTACTTTATTTGTAAATTGCACATCATGAACAACATAATTTATCCAAAACTAATTGTCACGCCCAAACTTGTATACCGCATTGTTGGATTATGGTAAATACGAGCAACTTATTAACTTGCACCTAAGAGTCCGTCTACAACTATTTGATAATTCATATCACATATGGATAGTGACTGCAGGCTCAATTGGCTATTCTACTGAGTGAGGTTTGAAGATGCCATCATGTCCAATGGGCCATTGTCTTGACATAGATAAGACCTAATAATTCAAGTTCCTTGGATTTTATTTATTTATTTATATTGTACACTGGCAAGCAAATTGAAGCCAATCGGCCATTGTTGTGAATAAAACCCACTAAACTTCCATCAATCAAGAGTTTAACCTGAACATGACCGGTGTCTGCCCAAGAAGCACATATATTGGGGTTTTGTGGCATTGCACGTATTCTGTTAACACATCCTTCATGGAAAACTTTGCGAAGCTGCAGATTCATCGAGAAAGAAAAATATTAAGTGAAAATATAATTTAGATAACTGCATACAACTAAAAAATCTCATATACAAAAATAAAATTGTACTTGCAGAACAGGTGTCCCAGATACGCCATCCTCCTCTTCTTCTTCATCGTGGCTGTCACTACTATCGCTCTCCATGTCAGAACCTTCAGTATTTGCCTTTTTTGGCACTAAGTCACGCCTCTTTCCTGAAATGTTTGATACTTTAAATATTCCAATGGAGTTCCACGAAGCTTTCTCTGCCTGCAGAATGGAAATTGTAAAATTGATTGTTATTATCAACACGTAACAAAAAAAAATCGTTATACAATGACAAAAGTAAACACAAAAATAATTGGCAATATATGCATGTATCTGTGCCCTATTGGTGCTTCCAATAAAATCTTTATTTAACAGACAAAACCAAAGAGGCTTTTATCCGCGACTTACAAAAACAAATCGCAAGTGACCAAACAAGGAAGGATAATTGTCAGACATAATCAGCTATCTTCTATTTGGAAACGCATTGATCAATTATCAAGTGTGTTCCATTTCTTGTGGTCAAAATAAAATTACACACATTTGAAAAAATAACCAAAAATCATCCATGTATGGATAAAGATCAGCACTCACTTGTGTTCCTGCAACACAGTACACAGTATAGGGAAACTCAGTCCGCACCAACCCGAGTGAATCGCGTAGTACATCAAAGCTGCCCAAATCCAAATAAAAGATCAATTACATAAACTTTCCAGCCAAAAAATTCACTAAGGACCCTGATAATAACAAAATCCTGGATATAGGCAAGTTGCAGCTAAGTAATAAAGTTATGCATAAGAATACACTGAGACATATTCCCTCAACCGACTTTTCACCATAAATATGTCAAATCCAGCCAGACAAAACCAAAATAAAACTTGAGGGGGCCAGAAGCTGTGAGCCTAGCTGTTTGCAGAGGCATACACAGATGCAGAGTGAGTGTATATTACAGTTCTCTCTACAAAATTTCAGCCAAAGTAAATTAATAAAGATACTAAAATTGACAAACTTCTAAATGAAATAAGATCCTTTATACCAATATGCTCAGATTTTCCAGACACCCAATAGCATACATTTAGAGGTCTCAAATTTTTAAGAACTTCAAGAACTTGTGCAATGCATGATTAATCTGTATTTGCATTTTTGTAATTTCTTCTAATTGAACCACGTATCTACAGAAGTCTTGGAGTATGTTGGTACACAGAAATTGACAAGACAGAACTTGATTAGATGCGCTAGCTTCTTTTTCTAGCTTGAATAGTGAAAGGCAACGGTCATGAGCATGTAGTTTTTTGGCACATAAAAATGGTACGCATGAATAGATGGGACGATAACCTCAAGCAGGGCCAGCCAATGTGAAAGGCATGGAGAGAATTGTAGGCAGAAGGGTCACACTGCAGCTCCTCTCCTTCCTCCAACGTGTCCACACCCGGTTGCCATACCTTTGCTGGCACTGATGGCATGGCATCTGCCGACGACCCTTCACCATTTTTTGATACCTGTTTATAGTATAAAGAAATAAAAATCAATTAAATCAAGCAACTTGAATTGCAACAAATATATAATCAGAAGACAAATTTCAGCAAAATAGAATGGATTATTTAGAGTAAAAAAAAAAAGATTGAATTTTTACCTTGTTTTTGCGTTTGGATTTTTTAGGGTTTTTTAAGCTGCGCACCATGCTTGTAATTGTGAATATGGGTGGAGAATTATGAAAATAGAAAGGAGGGTTTAGGGTTTTGTGGTTATTGATTAGGAATTATTTGGACCAGGGGCGGACATGGGGGTCCCGGGGGGCCACCTTTTTTTTATGTTTGATATCGATTGAAATCTAAATTTTAATTTAAATCAAGTAGGGGCAAAATCACTATAAATTTTAATTTTTCTCTTTTTCTCCCATCTTTTAACAAAATCTTAACTCTTCATCAAACAATGGTGAAATATTGAATTCTTAATACCATTTCGAAGTGTTCACGGTCTAGTTTTCTACGTCGTTAATAGCGTACGAAACGATCAATCGTAGCAAATGCTACGACTTGTCAAAGTAAGCCGTTTAAAATTAGTATTTCAAAAATTTCGATAATATGCTAACTTTAAAAATTTTTCGACGATCGTACGCTAATCGAATCTACAAATTGCTTATGTCATCTCAAAGTCTATTTCGAGAACTACATTATATGCATATCAAATAATCCAAACAGATATCAAAAATAATTAAAAATGCGTTAAACGTGAGTTGTAAAGAAAGATGTTTAACTCGCATTTTTTTTAAAAAAAATTCAATTCTTTCATTTAACATTTATTATTTTTGCAATACCAACTTCTCAATATAATTTTCATCATTTTATTAGAAAATTTTATAGAATATGACATAGTTTTTTTTCGAAATTTTATGTATGAAAAGTCATATCCCATGTAAAATAGGCATATTGAATAGTTCAAACATATATCTAAAATAGTTAAAAATGCGTTAAACGTGAGTTTAAAAAAAAAAACGTCTAACTCGTATTTTCTTTTAAAAAATTCAATTATTTCATTAACATTTATTATTTTTGCAATACAAATTTCTCCATGTAATTTTCATCATTTTATTACGAAATTTTATATAGAATATGACATAAAAAAAAATTCGAAATTTTACATATGAAAAAGTCATATCCCATTTAAATTTTCGGATGCAAAATTAAATGGGGTATGATTTTTTTGAATGTAAATTTTCGATTGTAAAATTTCTTTGCAGATTCAATTGTACCCTCCTAACTTTAAATTTCTGCGTCCGTCATTGATTAAGAATGTCCAACAACTTTAATTTAGTTCCTGTTTGACAACCGTTAAAATAATTCCATTGTTTTTCAAAACTTATTTTCAGCAACACAATTTAAAAATAAAATTTTTTACACATGAATTCAAATTTTTTTTACCACACGTCATCTAAAAATTCAATATTCCCAAAAAAACTTAATTTAATAGTTGGCAAACATGGGCTTATAAAGATGCTTGGGAGTTTATGAAAGTTTATTTAAATCATATATTTTACTTATAAGTAATTTTTTTACATATTAATTAACTTTTAACTTAAGGACATGAACACATTCTCATTTCGAAAGGAACAAGATCCAAATATAACAATAAATAAGTTAAAAGAATCATTCTTTCACTGTACAGAGTTGGAAGTAAGTAATCTTTTCACTTCAAAGTAAAAAAACTAAAATAAAAAACCATATGAAAATACAAAGTTACTTAATGGTGTAACTTAAAATGCTGATAAAAAATTTGAGTCAAAGTCAACAATTAATTTAATTTTTACTTCTTTTATTTTTTAATGTCCTAAGCCATATTTTTCCGATCGTTGAAAGCAATATTTACTGGCACATGGAGAAAGATGTAGGGTCTTTCCTTTCCGCCTATCTTGAATAAGGATTGGGGAGGCAGCTGCATTAACTAGCCCTTCGTCGTCCTTTATGGCAAAGAACCATGGCTGAGGAGTGAGTTGGGGCTAAAAAAAATAATTAGCCCCAAAAATCATCCACATTTGAAAAAATTCCCATAAATCGTCATTTCTGCTCTTCGCTACTTAAGGGAAATTTAATTGGCTTTTGAGTATTCACCTCTTTCCTTGTCGACCTTCTAAAATGAACTTGTTTCATTGCTCAATTCAAGGAATGATTCTGTTTTATGAAATGATTTCAGGGTTAGCCAATTATTAGATTGAGGGTGTGTTTGATCCACATTATTTTGAAAAAATGTATTCTAAAATAGTAGATTGATGGAGAATTTGTGGTTGAAAAAGAAGGAAAAGTTATTGATGTGATGGAAAATATTATTTTATTGAAAAATGTGTGGTTCAAAATGAGTAGAAGAATGAGAATGAAAATTTTAATGTGTACCAAACACACCTGTCAATTTCGAGCACGAGTAAAACATGAAAGCACAAACACACAAATAGGGTTCAATTTTTATATTTTTACATTTCATGTCTTATTTTCAATTCGTATAATAAATTTAGAATAATGCTATTTATCATTATGATAATAAAATATCGGTGATGTGACAGTTTATGTGGAATAAAGATGAGAGGGGGAGGAGATAGAAGTGTGAAGGATGATGAGTCGTCACATTATCGATATTCCATCGTTACGACGATAAATAACATTACTCTAAATTTAACAATATTTAGATTTTATTAATCTCAATCTTTAATTTTGAATTGCAAATGAAAGTCTCCGCCCTCAAACCGACCAACGATACGGACCGCATCGAACCACATTTATTCGCCCCCACCGAAAAAAGAGTGGCCAGCTCGAGTC